GATAGTTTGTGATTGCGGGGACAAGCGGGCAGAATACAGTCTGTCCACCATTGCTTAAGCAACAGTTCAGGGAGGGTCCGAAAATTTCAATGCCACTACTACTGAGGGATACACGAGCCCTAGTGAAGAACATATGCAGTGGAAATAATAAACGAACTTACCTCAGAAACTCAAAAACAGGGTGGAAAGTCCCTCAAACATGGGTGTTCATGGGGATTTCCCCAATCCCGCCCCCTTGCCGGCCGTCATTGGACGTGCTCGTTTTGGGACCACAGGGAAAATTGATTGAAAAATGGAGCGCGTTTACAGCGGGCACGTTCAGACAACTCGTCCAACGTGCGTCTTTATCCATTGCTGAGCGGCAGAGGGAGAGTACCTGTCTAAGACCCTCCCCGACGTTTTTTTCCAGTTTTTCATACATTAATCGTCTGGTTTTCATCTACAACTTCATTATTGGTGGTTTTTTCCCGCGAAACCGTTCCTGAACTGTTGCTTTAAAGAGAAGAGCTGATAAGGTGGACTGGACCACGAAGTGCAAGGCAAGCGGTTACGCTAAGCTCAAAAAAACTTAAAAATGTGTCATAAAGAAGGATCCTCTCAAGGTCAGGGCAATGGCCAAGCACTGTGGACCTTCTTTGAAACTGCGCGGGATTAAAGCTAGGACGAAAACGACAACGAAGGGCTTCTTCAAAAAAGAACCGAGGGTGGAGGAGAGTAACAGCACACCACTTAAAGGAAGCAGTGGAAAAAGTTGCAGTTCAACAAATGCGTATGAGAAGCCAGTGGGAATCCGATTTTTCTGCGAACTTCATTCCATGTTTTATCTGAGCTTTCGCTTATTGTTTGAAAACGATTGCAAGGCGGCGTATAGGTTGGGGTGTGCAATGGTAAGTCGTCATGGGAGGGCATGGATCTGGTACTTTTGCACTTGAAAGTGAGTGCAGAGATGCGAAATGGAACGCCAGTGAAGAAAAAAACGAAAAGAATGAAAAACTCTCCCGAACAACGGCGAAGGGGACTGGCTTAGGAGTACATGTCCGGACATGTTTTTAGGAATGCCAAATATTGCTAGCTCCGTGAAAACAGCTAACACGGCAATTAACCTGGCTGATTTCACACCTTATGCCAGCCACGCACCACTTCCCAGCCATGGGGTCATAGCTGACGTCGTCCTGATGCTTGGCCAGGGTTGTTATAGCCGCGTGGTTTCGAGTCACGAGCGCAGCATCACCTCTATGGTTCGCAGACCCAGGCAGATGTAGTATCGACAGAGTGGGTTCGTTCGATCGCCTAATCCCGACTTGTGCCTCTAAGGCACACCTCGCGTTTGTAAAACAGCGCTAGGGTCAAACTGTGAGTAATATATTAGGTTGGTGCAAAAGTCTTGAGATACTCGAATGCGTGTTTTGAAATCTTATAATTATCTTGATCTTATAATCACATCACTATATATGACATTCAGCAACAGGCAAATCGGCTATTCCTTGCTCCCAGAAGAGGAGAACTGTGAATCAAAGAAGTCGACCACGGCATTTTTGAGGTCACCGACAGTGACGAATTTCTTCTTGATCAGGAATTCCTTGAGATGATAACAGAAGGGGATAGATGATAATCACAAGGGGCGAGGTCAGGGGAGTAGGAAGGGTAGGAATAGGGTATTCTAGCCGAATTCCTGTAACCTGGAATGCGTGGTCCTTACAACGTGAGGTCGAGCGGTATCGTGCAGAAGATGGACAGAAACCCTCCGTCACTTTTCTTCGGTTGCACGAGCTCCTGGAGCTGGCCTGCAAATGTTAGCCGTGACTGCTTGGTTTTGAGAGAGCAGCCCGTGGTATAGAATTCCCTTTGAATCCCAGAAGCAGCACTGCAACGCCTTCCTTTGGCGCTGTTCTGCACGGGTTCTCCTTTGGGAGCCAGACAGCGACCATCTTGTTGTTGTCATAAAAGATCAGCTCTCAATCCCCTTCACCAGGTCCTGCAGAAAGCTTTCGATTGGAGTTAAGGAGGAGCGACTGGGCGATTGAGACACGCGTGTGACGCAGATCGTCGGTCAGTTGGTGCGGAATCCATCGAGCAAAAACTTTCCTGTAACCGTGCTCGTGAAGGTGTCGAACGACGTTGCTATGATCGCACTCGAGAAGCTCTGCCAATTCTCGGCTTGTGATCCAGCTTCTTCTTCGCTTCACTGCGAAGTCGATCGTCTTCAACAAAAACTGGCCGCCCGGAGCGAAGATCGTCTCAAGCATCGCATTTCCAGACTGAAAACAAGCGAATAAACGAGCAACCTTCGCATGGCGTTGAAGGCTGTCCCCGAATGCAATGTTGACATGGAAGCAGCGCAACGAGCACTACAACAGCGGCGCTATAAGACGATTGCTCAAGCTGACCCCATGACAATTGCGACATGGTTTGTAACAGAAAGGCTTAGGCGCCTACTAGCAGTAACTTCGAGATTGTTCTAGAATATTTTGAAATCAAGACGGTGGAAAATTTCTTGTAGAGACCTGACGATCCATGTTAGTTTGTGTCTCAAGACTTTTGCACCAGCCTAATAAGTCTGCTGCTGAAAAGAGCTAAGGGGAGAAAGAGCTGGGTCTTCTTTTTGTAGTTTCTTTGGAGAATTGTGCTCGGTCACAGCGAAGACTCATTGGCAGCCGATAAGGTCGATGATATTAGTGGTTGGACGAGCATAACCCCATGGTAGATACGATACGATTAGATAAGAAGATACGGCTGCTTAGAATGAGGTGCACTCCAGCATGAAAATCGAACGATAACGATAACGTATCATATCTAGCATCCTGCTGTTGCATCCCCTTTCACGTCTGATAAGGAGGTGCAACCGTTGTACTCCGTGGTACTAGAGAGCAGTTCTTTGGGCTATCGAACACTACGGATAAGATAATAAGTGAACGACTCATTTCGAGCGTACTTTTGATAAGGACCGGTGGATGTCCTACATTCCACACTACCTGCCCACATCCCATCCACTTTTCTGCACAGGTGATCCACCCTGGAGCTCCTGCTCTTTGCGGAGGCGTCTGTGAAAACGTTTCAGGGTTTCTCACCCATTACACCAATATTTATCAGAAGTCTACTTTAAATGAGTCGATTACGTGTCGTGAGCCCTCTAATCCTTATCTTGAGTATTGGAGAAAAAATGGAGTGCCCCCCCCGAACTGGAGTTTACCTCTAGCGCCTTATCGCGCCGTTGGTAACGCGCCACTGCCCCTGAAGCGTCAGCTGTTATCTCATTGGGTAGGACCCCTACTCAATCC